TTCCTGCTGCTCTAGAGTAATGGACTCTCAGGCTGCCCCCGAGTTCATGCCATAGCCAATCAGCTCCTACAGAGTGGTGGGGAGAAAAGTCTCTGTTCCAGCTCCATATCAATCCCCCACTCGTGTAGTGAGGCATTTCTGTGTTGGCAAGAAAAGCCTTAGTATACTGCAGGACCATATTCAGAAAGCAGGTTTTGATGGTAATACCACCCGGGGCACAACTCGGACTTAATTTTAAGACAGAGGCTTTGCTCTGAAATCACAAAGTCCAACTCACACGTTTGGCAGTCAGTGCATTTGCATCTTAGTCCCTGAAACCATCTTCTCCAGATATTCTACTAAAGTCAAATGATCAAATGCAAAAAATAAAATAAAATTGAAGATTGGAACCAATCAGGATGTAAAATAAGGAGTGTCCTTGAGATACACTGGAAAATACATTGTGAAAGGCAAAGCCAACTGAAACTTCAGTATACTCCCTTTCCATCCTTGCTTCTTTGTCCCTCCCTACATTCAAACTTGTTATTAATTTTACTGCTCCATACCTCTTATTTACTCCATTTACAAAAATGGAAGTTAGGAAGCCATCAGCATGCTGGCACGGGGAGGGGGAGGAAATGTAGATGTACAAAAAAGCAAGAACAAACCGAGTAGAAAGAGAAGACAACAGGGCAGAGCAAGGTGGGCTGAAGGAAAAAGACATCTGAGTAAGCCTATTTAAAAGGTGGCAGAAGGGTTTCTGGAGACTAATGGCAGGCACAGCCTTTTCCAGCCTGTTAAGCTATTCTGTAACACTTCTGTGCTACAGCAAGTTTTCAAAAAGAGCTCCCCTGCACCTTAATATCTTGACCATATGCTGAATCAGGGAACTGTTCCAGACACTTACTCTTTAGCTTCTCTTGGAACTCATGTTTGCCCATCCACAGCTTTCAATTTACTTCTGGCTTTGAAGCAAAAGCAGCATTCATATGAGGAGCAGGGCTGCTCTGTTCCCAGTACCATTTCCTTTCTCTGATACTTTGCCCTAATTAAAGCTTTAATGCTCAATAGCACTGGATGGCAATGTAATGCTTACCACTCTTTCACTTTAATGCCTCAGTGGTTATTATGGTGTGCCATAAAAAGTTTCAAGAGCTGTAACTGACAAAAAGTCATCCTTTGAGGCAAACTTAGAACAACTCCCAAACTACTTAGGAAACAGGCAAATGTTGTATTCAAGATCCTACTCAGAAATTCCCTCATGGGAAATAAAAGAACACTGTTTTCTTTCAAGCCTGGTCTGCATCAGTGGGAATTTCAGCAGAGAGAAAGAAGTCAAACTGCTTTAGTTTCCTATTTTTTTAAAAAAAAAATCTGAGGACAAGGAATGGTCTCTGGAAAGCTTACAACACAAATTATAAAAATGACATTCAGGAACAAACATACTCTTCCCTCAGCTTCTTCTCAGTGTTCCAAGTTTTGTCTTCAATATTACTTTCACTGCAGTCTTATCATCTTACATTTCTTTCTCTTCTTTTTTTTTTGGGGGGGGGAGGAGAAATAATAGCAGCTTTACAAACTTCAGGTATGAGTTGGTCAGTCAAAATACAGGGAGTAGCATTAATTGTCCTGAGAGCCTCAGTCTAGTGTCAGGCAGCAAAAACTGCAGTAGTTGCCTGACATGGGGATGTTGAGGGCTGTACTATGCTATTCTTCGTTTTCACTGTACATTTGAATTGTGTGAATTGAACTGTGAAATAGGTCTTAAGAACTGCTTGTCTGGATTATACCACATTGTATCTAGGTCAGTATTTGGTTTCCAAGAGCAGCCAAGATAATACTCCTGGATGCTCCTAGCACAGAAGTGACAGCCAGCTCCTGCTTTTGAGAGACTTGCCTTTCTCAGATGGAGAACTACTGTTGTACCGTCCCAGATTCCCCAACTGAAAACATTACTGACCAACCCTGTTTTCTCCTTTGCCGCCTTTTCTTTCATAATTCTCAATGAAGAATTATTACTTCAACCAGAAGCTCTTTCTTTTGCTTCCATCCACAGGGAAGACAGATTCTACTTGTCTTTTTTAGCTTGTGGGCAACTTTTGTGATACTGACAAAGGATGGTGGGCGCAACCAAAAAATGGCTGCCTTGAGAGATGAAGCCAGTCACAAAATGGCTGCCAAATGGGGCAGTGCCAGCCCCAAAAGATCAGGGAGTTAGGTTATGTATAGCTAGTAGCTCTTCAACATTTCAGGCAGAGGAACTGTTTAACAGGATGCCTTTTAAAATTAACATTGTTTAAAAATATTTTCTTGTATACATATTGTCTTGTATACATATCAAGCTAGCTAAAAAACCCTCCCTCAGCTTGTAATGTCTTCATTTTTCATGCATATAATTGACTTAAGAGAAGTGGGGGGGAAGCTTTTTCTCCACACTTCCTCTTTACATGAGCCTTTCCCTCGTAAGCCCAGACATTTTAAACCTGCACCATGACGACTTGTAAGAACAATTGGTAATGAAGAGCTAGTGAGAGCTCTTTCATACATCTACAGTAAGAGACTTTGGACAGATTTTGATAGGAACATAAATGATTTTTGGAAACATGTACAAATTTGATATAGATTTATTATCAGCTTCCACCTGAATTATGAATAATAAAAATACATTAAAATAGGGGAGACCTGATGTCTTAGCAGACGTTCCAGTTAGTTGAATTACAAATTTAAGCCATACAGCCCAATCATGTCTAAACAGGATCAACTCCTGCTATGCTTTTAGAATACCACTCCACTATTTGCACAGGTAAAGTACTTTATATAAAGCCACTGTTGTATTATACCATAAACATTAAAAACTCAAAAAGCCCCACCTACTTTCGAAAAAACACTTTGCGGGATCCCAGGAAAAGTGCTGCTCACAGGTGCCACCCCGGGGATCCCTGAGTAATTCAGTCATGCTGAATGTGAACACAAGGGTATGGCTCCTGGAAAAATACTACATAAATAATATTAGTGACTTTAAAAAAGCAATCACATTTTCACAATAGGATCCCAAGTCTGCAGAACAAATGAACAGCAACCTATTAATATTTTGTAGACATTCCAGTACAAGCTCACCAGTTGAGCACAGACAAATTATAGCGCTCTTTCTCATCCATTTTATACACATATACTATATGTACATATCTTCACACGTTATAGGTTAACCTGCAAGTGGTGAATCAGTCCAAGAACTGGGCTTATATGGGGAGGGGCTGGGGAGAGAAGGAGAAATGAAGCACATCGGTGAAGTCTGTAGATGTACGCATGAATTCAGTAAAACATGACTTTTGAGTGGCTCAGTCCTTTGAGGCCAAACTGGCACAGAAAATAATGGGAACAGTTTCTCTTTGTGATCTACTTTAACAATGAATAATTGTATTAAGTAGCCAAGGAACTGTGTCTCTTTTTCCACTTACGCTTGAAATACAATCTTTGTTTGCAAACACACTGTAGCATTCTTTCTTTGTACTTGCAGGACTCCAACCCCATTTGGTGGGCTATTACTGAATGATGTGTACCCAGTACCTGGATTTGAGATGAATGAAGCTCAGACAGACACCATGAGCAGCTTGGAACTGATGTCGAATAGACCCAGCTTCAACAAAGTACCGCGGGGCTGGGTACAGGCCATGCCAGAATCAGACGAACTGTAACTGACATACTACTTAACACTGCTACCAGTCTCTTCTTAAGTGTCAATCCATGCTAGTCTTCCAGTTTACTGATACAGAACCCTAAGAAGAATCTCTTGAGCATAGAATAGATACCCTATGTATCCACTATAGACAGCAGCTCGTCATGACATAAACCCTTAAGCAAGCTCCCATCTAGGGCCTTCTTATACTCTTCTAATGTGGAACTGAAGTGTACAAACCACTTAATACAAAAAAATTGTCATGTTTTTGATAAGGATCCTACAGTGAAGCAAGACTAGCTGTCAAGCCGAGAACAGCAAGATGTCAGACTGAATTATTTCCAGTTTCTTTAAAGAAATGGTGCTTAAGGACTGCTCAAAAACTTACTCCCCTCCGAGAAATATGAAGCTACTGCATGTTCCAAGAAATTATGGTCTTGCCTTGTTCACAAATCAATACCAGGTTAAGACTGACACAAGCTAGATTCCCAAATCTGTTTTTTTCCTCTGAGATAAATCAAAGTTACCTGTTGTAGAAGTCACTAGCAGATTTTTGTCCACTGTAACATCAAAGTAAACTCATTAAGATTTCATAGCTATCTACTACATTTTTATCGCATGCTGTCTCCATGGTCCTCTGGAGGCTGGATACAGTTTTCCCTTCCAGATTTTAATCTCACAACCACCCTTAAGGAAGGTTAGGCTGCGGATGTGTTACTGGCTCAAGAGCACACAGCAAGTTTCATGGCCGAGTAGGGACGGTTTGCAACCACATTTTCTCTTGTATGAAAGCTGTTAAATCAAGGTCCAACTTTTAGTAGTGAGGGATGAGTCATCTCTAGTGCAAGTATTGAGGCCAATTTAAGATGTCAGGACATGGCCACAGTTTAAAATAGAAGCACAGTGCCACACCAAAATGTTGCAAAATGAACTAACAAAGACTGTGGATAAGGCCACCCTGACATCAGTTTTTGCAGGAAGTAACATACAATGATGTGATTGCCAAGAAATCTGTAAGTGACATGATATGCAAAGTAGCTCAGAAACCCCATTTTAAAACATTTGATGAGAGTTTTAAGGATCAGATACACTAATGGGAAAGGTGAGCCTGTGAAGCAAGTTCACATCAACTGAAGCCACTTCTCATGTAAACAAGCTTCTAGCATTGCAACAGAAGTTGAAAGTAAAGGATCATCATTTAATAGGTATAGCACAGTTCTTCTGCAGGCCCAGAAACTGACCAGCGAGTGGACCACTCCTCTGACCAAGTTTCCCTAGTGTATCATATTCTGTATGTATATGTAGATATATTATACAAAATAGACGCATAACAGACACAAGGCACCTATAAAGCTACAGTTATACTTCTCCCAGCCCTTAGAAAATAAGAACATATAACCACTAATAGAAGGCTATCATTTATACATAAACTTTCAGAAATTGGCAGCTGCTTTATTTTTGTGTTTAAGCTTTTTACAATTAGATCCTAAGTACCTTTATGGGTATTTAATATATTGGTATGAATGCATTTAAGCTAGGCAGGGTGTTTTTTTCTGTCATTGTCAGTGACTTATAAAAGAAGGCAACTAACTGCAATGTTTAATTGTCAAAACACTAAAAACAGAACTTCCATTCCACTTCTCAATTACAGCATGTAGGAAGATAGGGAGGAACAACAGTCTATTATTTACGAATTATAAACAAATTGTCAGTGGACCTACGAACTGGAAGTCATGTTTACATTCAGAAGTAATTGGGGCAATGCAATAAAATGAATTATATTTTAAAATGCATTTGGGTTGTTTATTTGGGAAAAGCTGATTGTTGAAAAGCTTGCAGGTAGGAAGCCCCTTACAGGAGCTGCGGTGGCTCAAGTGGTTAAGATGCTGAACTGCAGGCTGTGGAAGGTCAGTAGTTCAGCAGTTCAAGACCCGGGTGCCGCAAGACGGAGTGAGCTCCCGTCTCTAGTTCCAGCTCCTGCCAACCTAGCAGTTCGAAAGAAATTGCAAGTAGATAAATAGGTACCACTTCGGTGGGAAGGTAACAGCGTTCTGTGCGCCTTGGTGTTTAGTCATGCTGGCCACATGACTACAGAAACGTCTTCGGACAGCGCTGGCTCTTCGGCTTTGAAACGGAGATGAGCACTGCAACCCTAGAGTCGGATTCGACTGGCTTTCGAGCAAGGGAACCTTTACCTTTTTAGGAAGCCCCTTAAAGGTAAAGCGAATGGTGTGTAAATCAAATGTTTTATACCCCATGGGGAGGGGAATCCTGATGGTTCCTTAAGGACGAGAAGAGTTATCAGTGCCTTAAAGACTAGAAAAGTTATTGTCGTATAAACTATAATAGAAAAAATAGGTCACAATAAATATTCATCTTTAATATTCATATTTTTTTCTGCAGCAGACTAACACAGCAGACTAACACAGATCCAACTCATGAATTCCAAATGGCCAGTATTACAGGACACACCAGAACAGTATTCAGGTGCAAAGTTGTGACCAGCTTAGTGGGCAGTAAGGTCTCGTGTGTGCCCACTTAGCTTTAATATAAGAGATTTAAGAGAACTACAATCAGTAGTTGCTGCCCCTTTTCTGGTTCTTCCATGCACTTTTTTAGCATCAGGGGCTATGTGATTTAGATACAAACATGATCTTCATAGTATGCAATGGCATAAACCACAGCCTATACGAGCAGCCTAAGATGAGATATTCCATTTCTAGTATTAGCATCCAAACCTTTGCTTAATTATGAACAACTGCTGTCATGATAGCTGGCATGTTATGCAACTCCTACAAATTTTGATGTATTGATCTGTTTGCTTTAGCATTTTTAAAGCCTTCAAACTGCTTAACTATGGACTTGGTCACTTTTGAAGAAATTTTCCATCACCTGCAACTTCCAGCCATTGGATATGCCTAAAACTCAAAATCTTTTGAAGAAATTTTCCATCACCTGCAACTCAAAATGCATTTAATAGGCGTTTCCCCAATCAAATTCTGTATTCCAGGTAAGACTGGGAAAATTTGCCCACTGTCACTTAAAAACAAAACAAAATCAACAAGTCACATGAGTAGATAAAAATATGATTCTCTTTACTGGGGCACATTACAGACAAAAGACAGTCGAGGGCAAATACCGAGAACACATCTAAAACAGCCATCGGTAATCAAATGTTAAGTTCGGAAATAGACCAGACTAGTTTTAGTAGCAACTGGACATGAAGGCCATGTAAGCCGCAACTCCAGAGTCACCAACCTCTTAATGGAGGTTACAAGCATGCAGTGCTGCTACCTCAACTTTTGGTAGCAAGCATCACAGACAGGATCAAGAATAAAGAGAAACAGTATTTATTACAAAGCTGTACACCATCTGAATGCCCTTCATATTAATCTGATCTTCCTGTACCCTTCCATTCCAGCTCAGTGCAAGGAAAGGTACAATAATTTGACATTCAAACAGATTTGCTGTAAAGGAGTTTCCAAACAAAAGAGGACCGCTTCTATTGCGTAATTGCTTGGCGATTACCAAACTGGTCCAGTAATTTTGTTTCTGTCAAGAGACAAAAGTTTCAAAATTGGATACACTGATGGGATTTGAAGTTTGAGAACCATTTGTTCCTCTAGCGCAGAACACAAGCCACCCTTTTCTCTCCCCAGGTTAGGTATTTTGGTTATACAAATGATCACATTTCCTAGGGGCAACACAGCAGGACTAAGCCTGGACTGTGTGTACACAAAGAAAAGAGAGGCTTAGATTTCCATTCATTACAGTTGAATGTGGTATACTACCAACATAAGTTCTCTTTAAAAAAATAATAATAAAAACAAGATGGCGATGTTAGGGACTGTTGTGCTTCCCTGCATGGGCACCCATTCTTTGTGGATCTTGAGAAGGATAGTGGATGGGACCTGGGGCTCTCATGAAAGGAGGTGGAGGACCCATGGCATGGAACATGTGTGGCCCGAAACCTGTGGAAAGAAGAGGCACATCAGTTTTCCCTACCTCAAACTGCCTGCTACAGATACATGCAACACCCCCAAATTTCCTGTTTCTGTGCCAAACACCCAAGCCTCCTTAATATTACATACTCTGGTTTACATGCTAATTTGCTGCCGTTCATTAATCTTGCTGCCTTGATCCAATCTTAGCTTCACTTACGTATCTTAACTCTGACTGGTTCTTCCTGATGCTTCCACACACCCCTCCAATCTTCCTGTATGTAAGGCTTGAAGAAATTTTGTTTTAATGTGTCTGAGGAAGTGCGCTTGCACACGAAAGCTTACACCTTAAATAAAACTTTGTTGGTCTTAAAGGTGCCACTAAATTCAAATTTTGTTCTACTGCTTCAGGCCAACACAGCTACCTACCTGAATCTATACTCTGGCTTAGTTGTCTTTAACACAATTTACTTTTGTTTTTAGCTCAATTATTCCTTATTTTGTTATTATTTGGATTTTTAGGCTGCCCTTACCTGCAGGGCTCAGGGTGGCTTACAACAGAACAGAACAATAAATAATCTAGATTAAATTAAAAACTAGTAATAAAATACAGCACACAATAGATACAACAGACTATTCCAAGGTGGTGAGAAATTTCGACAAAAATTGCAATGTGTGTAGACTAGATTTTTGCATTCTTTTACAACTTTGGCCATTTAAACAGACATGCTTAAAGAGTAAGGATAGGTAGCAAGGATGCAATCCAATGTATATTTACTTGGGGAGTAAGTCCCAATTTGAATTTAACATGCCTTATTTCCATGTAAGTACATGGAAGAGTAGGCTGTAGTTGGATTCTAGAGAAGAAAATACAAAACTGACTTGAAGGATGGAAACAGCATGGACTGAAACACCTGATACTGTATGTTACTTTACTGTCATCTAATCTATTCCCTGAAGTTGAAGATTAAAAACACACTTGCAAAAGATAACCAGACACAGAAATGAAATCTACAAATTCAAGGCTAAAAGATACCCATGGGTCTCTTTCCCAAACAGGAAGGGGGGGGGAATTACCAGGAGGTGGTGGTGGAGCAATGCCAGGAGGAGGTGGCAGGGCAATGTTCACCACAGCAGGAGGGCCACTGGGAGGTAGGTTGAAATAGTTTGCAGAAGCGGCTTCTTCTTCAGCGGCTGGAGGAGGAGGAAGAGCTGCAGGACACAAAACCAACGTATTATACTGTGTGCCGCAGACAGTATGCCGGCAAGAACAATCCAAGCACAGAGATGGGAAACCAGACTGCAGGGATCAGTGATTCTGTTTGATGCGCATGAACAAAAGAAGCTCCTTCCACAAAGCACCTGAATAAAGTAGTTTCAGCTTAATGAGCAAGCCCTTCCATTGCAACTCTTCTCTGTGTAATCCCTGTTAACTTGATTGATAAACCTTCTAGCTGTAGTTGCCATCTCTAAATCATCCAGCCTCCTGCTAGGCCCAATTCAAAATGCAGCCTCCTTAACTTCTAAGACAGTTGCCCATAGCACCTCTAGTTCCCAGGGACAGAACAAAGAAAGCCATTTATCCCCAACCCATTTTGCCTAACAAGTCACAATACAAAATGTTTTGCAAAGTTACTTGGGTAAATGATTAGGGACCGTGGTCGACACTACCATGTACAGCTTGCTGTGAATAAGATTCTTCTGGGCTGTAGTTGGATTCTAGAGAAGAAAATACAAAACTGACTTGAAGGATGGAAACAGCATGGACTGAAACACCTGATACTGTACGTTACTTTTTTGTCATCTAATCTATTCCCTGAAGTTGAAGATTAAAAACACACTTGCAAAAGATAACCAGACACAGAAATGAAATCTACAAATTCAAGGCTAAAAGATACCCATGGGTCTCTTTCCCAAACAGGAAGGGGGGGGGAATTACCAGGAGGTGGTGGTGGAGCAATGCCAGGAGGAGGTGGCAGGGCAATGTTCACCACAGCAGGAGGGCCACTGGGAGGTAGGTTGAAATAGTTTGCAGAAGCGGCTTCTTCTTCAGCGGCTGGAGGAGGAGGAAGAGCTGCAGGACACAAAACCAACGTATTATACTGTGTGCCGCAGACAGTATGCCGGCAAGAACAATCCAAGCACAGAGATGGGAAACCAGACTGCAGGGATCAGTGATTCTGTTTGATGCGCATGAACAAAAGAAGCTCCTTCCACAAAGCACCTGAATAAAGTAGTTTCAGCTTAATGAGCAAGCCCTTCCATTGCAACTCTTCTCTGTGTAATCCCTGTTAACTTGATTGATAAACCTTCTAGCTGTAGTTGCCATCTCTAAATCATCCAGCCTCCTGCTAGGCCCAATTCAAAATGCAGCCTCCTTAACTTCTGAGACAGGTGCCCATAGCACCTCTAGTTCCCAGGGGCAGAATAAAGAAAGCCATTTATCCCCAACTCATTTTGCCTAACAAGTCACAAAGCACTCTACAAAATGTTTTGCAAAGTTACTTGGGTAAATGATTAGGGACCGTGGTCGACACTACCATGTACAGCTTGCTGTGAATAAGATTCTTCTATGTAGTTTTGCATCATTTAATGTGTCATGTTAATAATCATGCTTTGCTTCAGATTTTTGGTTGGTTCCACAAATCTAATCCTATTGCATTGTTTATTAAATATCCCATTTTGTTGATTGTATTGACTTATTCTGTATAATCCGCCTTCAGTCCCAGTAAGAAATGTGGACAATAAATAAATAAAATACCATGTTTTTCAAACCTTACCTCCAGGTAGACCAGGGACAGGCTCCAGTTTTATACCAGATTCTGTGGTCCCTTCTCTTTCCTTCTCCTTTCCTCTGGCTGCTTGAGACCTGAAGGCCAAACCAAAGATACTTGAGCAATACTTAAGTGGGTAAAGTAAAGGTAAAGGTTCCCTTGCTCGAAAGCCAGTCTGTTTGATGCGCATGAACAAAAGAAGCTCCTTCCACAAAGCACCTGAATAAAGTAGTTTCAGCTTAATGAGCAAGCCCTTCCATTGCAACTCTTCTCTGTGTAATCCCTGTTAACTTGATTGATAAAACTTCCTTCTAGCTGTAGTTGCCATCTCTAAATCATCCAGCCTCCTGCTAGGCCCAATTCAAAATGCAGCCTCCTTAACTTCTGAGACAGGTGCCCATAGCACCTCTAGTTCCCAGGGGCAGAATAAAGAAAGCCATTTATCCCCAACTCATTTTGCCTAACAAGTCACAAAGCACTCTACAAAATCCACTTGAGCCACCGCAGCTCCATTAAGTGGGTAAGCTTGACCATAAATTTAGAAATTCAGTGTTACCAAGTTATAAAGGGGGGAGGGGCTGCAGGGAAAGAACAGATAATATTCTACTTACAAGCAGCTGTATGGGTCAGTCGATTTCCCACAGGCCCAGCATTCCCCACCTCCCTCCAGAGCAATGCTCCCTTTAAGCATGGAGTCTTGTGAGCAACAATTCTACTTTGTGAGCTACTGGCATTAAAGTTGTGAGCAAGCGATTTGGCTACTGCATAAATTAGCTTGCTCTGGAGCCATCCTTCCTGAGCTAAGACAAAAATGTGTGAGCTGGAGGCTAAAAAAACGGTGAGCCAGCTCACACTAACTGAGCTTAGAGGGAACACTGCTCCCAAGATAGCTTGGAAAGTCTGAAACTCAGCCAGCACAGTAGAACCAGAAGTGTGCTATGTGGCTTGCATTAGACTTGACGTATGCAGCTGACTGCGGAAACACGAAAATTTGTGCAGAGGAAAATGTCTAAAAGAAACATGCCTGCTGCCATCTCCCCTTCTCCCAGTCACTCACCTGCCCCATTTCACATTAAGCCTGCGGCCGTTAACAATAAGCTTGTTGAAGGACTTCTCCGCTGCCACTTCTGCAGCTTGTCGTGTGGCAAACTGGATGAACGCGCACTGCTGCCTCTGCACCACAGTTATCGTCCGGATCTCACCAAACTGATAGAAGTGATTTCTGAGGAGGAAACATACAGTCCAATACAGTGATACTGTCCCTCATTACTGCTGGTCAGGCCACTCAGACTCTTGATATGCTACACAGCTGCAGAGACATGAAGCATCTCTCTATACCAGGTATGGAGAAGTTTATATCCACACTTCTGTCAGCTGGAATCTGGAAGTGTTTTCTTCCTCTTTGTATAGAAACCATAGTTACTCCCACAGTCCCTTACTAAGAAATATAAAATGGATCCTTTGTAAAGAGAGCAATGCTACAGATTTAAAATTGGCTTTCATTTTAGCCACTGAAGCTGTTTGCTGTATAAATCCAGCTTTTAACTATTAGCTGGTAAGACAGACTTTCTTAGTGCATAAATACGATCGTTCCTACACAGTTCAAGGGTAACCAAAATACACCATTGCTGCTTTCTACACTGAATGTCTTATTTTGGTGAGTGCCCTTCATCAGCTATTTGTTCTTGTATTGTTGGTTACATGTGTGCACCACACAAATGCAGAGATCTGTACAAAACTTTTAGATGCAAAAAGAGAAACATGAAGGAACACGGCTACTTGAAGAAGGCTAGACAGACATACACTGTACCAGCTGTTTTCCAATATATTCTTGGAAGCGCACACTAGTGTAGATACACCCTTCCTCAAAGAAATGCATGCAACACTGTGAAGACATGAAGCCAGAACAAGAGCTGGGTATGTCATACCTAAGATCTGTCTCAGTGATAGTGTCACCCAGACCGCCAACATACAGTGTTGTTATTGTTTTGTCATCTGGTGGGTCCAGACGAGGCATTGTGGAAGCTCGTTTGAGAAGCTTGTCAGCCACAGGATCATTAATACCATAATAACGATCTTTTATGTTCTGATCAGCAAGAGGATCGTCTGGATCTGTAGGTTTTTCGTGCCTAAGAATTCAGAAACAACATTTTACGACATCTGCTGAAAACAAGTGCCAATTTCATGCTTCAGTTTTCCTCTAGACTTAAAAAATTCTAATTAAGTAAACCTAAACACCTCTATAGTTTTGCTTTCAGCCTCATTAGTCATCTAAATGAAAGGCAGCATTTGGACTGGAAGTATGAAATTGTTTTTCAAAACAAAGGACCTCATCAAGATACATTTAGATGATCAATTATGGGCAGATTTTGCAAACACTGGGAATAAAAATCTGTCACTGGTGTGGCCTGAGGTCTCCCAACGGTCAGCTCAATTCACTCGGCAAACACTTGCACAGGAGCGATACTCCCATTCTGATGTTTGCCAAGTCAACAATCAACTTTTGCCCCATTGTTTAAATATACCAGCATTATTTTCACTTTGCTGTGCAGTTACTTGTGCATCTAAAACATTGCATCTCAAGAAAGTAAAAAGGGAGAATATCTTTCTCAGCACAACTATACCTGTAGGGACACTCTTCCCCTCTCTTACATTCTCCTTTCACCCAAAATGAGCAGATGTGTGGCCGATTGCGTTTGTAATAAGGTGTGGTCCGAGCCAGCTTCAGCAACATGTCACTGGTAGACGTAGCCTTTCCTAGAGCACCGACAGGCCGAGTGCCATCAGAGTTCATGATCTGGAAAGGCAGATAAACAGGCATAAACATTAAGGTCAAGCAGAAGGTTCACTTAGCTCACAGCACAAATTACACAAGAGACATTGCTTCACCTCTCTTTCCATATTTTGAGTATAATATTCTTTATTAACATCCGACTTGGGCATATCATCTTTAAGTGAGAGTCCAGCATCTCGAACCTGAATAGGTAAACCTAACATTTGAAGAAAAAAGAGCAATTAATAAAGGCAAAACAGTCAAGAGCTTATTACTGCAGCTGTGACTATTTAAATAATAATAATGTGCATCTTTCTTAATTTTTACCAAATAGGGTAAAGAACCCTTGGAAACAAAGTATGCATTAACGGACAAAACTCTGCTTACCAAGAAATGCAAACATTTAAACTGGAAGATTGCTTAATTTCAGTGTGCCTTCTACATACCTATCAAAATACCTCCGTATATCACTACCATCCAGTTAATAACACCTGTTATCCTTCACCTTTCATAATGATTTTTTCCCCCTTTAGCACACTCTGGTGATTGTATTTTGCACAACACAATCCTAATCCTCACCTATGATAACACTTTACCCACTTGTTACATCAAGCCCGGGTCCTCCCAATTCCTTACGATGACAAAAGGAAATTGCCACAATACAAATTATTTATATAGACAACTCCCAACAATGATCAAATTAATAGTATTTAATGACTAAAAGGAAAGCTGTCATGTTTTATGTACAACTGGGACTGCTGTACCAGTAACCTTTGGTGGACTGCTGCAGACACAGTTCCAAAAATATTTCTAGGCTGCCTCTTAACACAGTTTGAGACAGCTTACAATGCTCAGTAAACACGAAAAATAAAATATATACTTATAAAAACAATCCTAAAACAAAACAAAGCCCCATCTGTCGTAACTGCCCATCATAGGTCAGAAATGGGGGAAACAAAATGGTACTTCTGCTGAAGATATGAAATACTGAGAAGGTTCATATGGGAGCAGAATATCCTTCAACAAGCATGGTAATTGCATTCTGTCTATCTCATAACCCTGCCCCCAACCTGTAGTTGGTTGTGATATACAACACTCACTGTGATGTATTAACATACAGATTATGCTACATCAGATAGAAAGGCTATAGAGGATTCAAGGAAGTATGAGTCCAAAAAGACAGCTTGCAAGGGTGATAGCATATGTACATATTTTCCATACCGAAAGAACCACCTTATAAGATGCTTCACCAGAGGGCGTCTCAAGCAGAGGGGTGACTTTAGGCAGGCAAGTGTTGCTGCACTAAAAAGCTCCATGCTTGCATGGGGCATGGTACATTTAGGCACAGCCCCCTGGATCATTCCAAGAGTCAGTTGCAGCCTTTCCTGGATGGGAAAGATCTTGCCACTGTGGTACACGCCCTGCTAATATCTAGATTAGATTACTGCAATGTGGTCTACATGGGACTGCCCTAGAAGACTGTCCAGAAACTACAGTTGGTTCAGAATGCTGTGGCCAGAATGTCAACTACGTGGGTTGTAGGGACCGTATCACTGCAGTCTTGTTCCATCTATACTGGTTCCCACTTTGCTTCTGAGCTCAATTCAAGGTCCTGGAATTAACCTTCAAAGCCCTTGAGGCAAGTATACCTTAAGGACCACCTTCTCCCATATGATCCTACCCATCCATACAAGTCGTCTTCAGAGGCCCTGCCTTGGGTGCCCCCACCATTTCAGGCTAGATGGGTAGCAACCCAAGGAAAAGCCTTCTCAGTCATGGTACCAAAACTTGGGAACTCCCTCCCCAGGGAGATTAGCGTATTTTCCTCTAGCATTGTCTTCTGCTAGCAGGTGAAGTGTTTTTTCTTTTGTTTGGCATAGCCCCAGTAACTCTTGCTATCCCTCCTCCTCCCTGATTGTTCTGCTATGTGTGTTTATATGTTTTTACTGAAATGTTTCTTTTATATATTTTTTATTATAATATATTATAATTAATATTTTGATGTATACCACCTTGGGGACCCTATTTTGATGGAAAAGCAGCACTGAAATGCTTTAACTAAATATAAACTAGCAGGTGCAATATAAACTCATTCAAAGGAACAAAGTGTGGATGATACCCGTAGAACTCAATCCAATGATCTTCCTGCATAGGAGTGAGCTGGGCACACATTATACATGACAATATCCACTTCAGCTCCCCATTACATGTTGCCATGTTGTCTGGGGAAGGTGGTGCAAATTCAATAAAATGAATGAATTGGCACCACAGTGACAACAATGTTGCTATTGGATATCTACTCCCTTGTAACATCCTTTATTGTATGCAGGTCTGCATTAGGAAGAACAGTCCACACACAGAAACACGTTTCTGTACACATACTGCCTTTGCTTCACTGGAGGCAACACTGTGTTAATTTGGGACTTGTTCAATATACCAGAATGATAACTACACACCATACTCTAGGTCAAGAAGGCAGGTCTGACAAACGTTCTTCAACTTGCTGCATGTCTGGCACACTTCAGTCTTCTTAAAGCGCATGCGTACACCTGGGCACCAACGGAACACTGTGAACGGCCTGGCACATATCTGAAACGAAGACTTAATTAGCATGTACCAACATAATCTAGGACCACAAGACATAAATAAGGTACACAATAGCAATGTCACTCTGAATCAGTATAACTATCATACACTCTGAAAACAAAACAAATAGTTCAGACAAGACCCAGTGGATATGGAAGTTGGCTGCAACATAATAGGAATATATTTAGTTCTCTTGGAACAATATTATCTACACTGGTCCCTGTTATTTGACTGGGGAACTAGGAGTACACTGAAAGTGAAAAATGAAAAGCAACAAAGGAAGATAACATTTTGCCTTCAAAACAGACCTTAACAAAAAGCACTTGTTTACACTATGCAAGGGATTTTTCTTGCATTGAACTGGCAGGACATTATTTAAATGTTCTACCAACTTTGATGAAGGTTAAAGATTACTTAAAAGCTTAACCCCCTTAGGACACTGGGTTGAATCCAACCCATTTTTTCTATCAATGGAAAGGATTACTCCACTAGAGGAATCCACCAGCAGAATTACTGGCAGAATCTAAATCAATGACATTCAATCTTGGAAGATATATGAACAGAATTTGTAGATGGTACAACTACCCTTTAGAATTAAACTGCTTTGAAAATATCTTAAACATACCTTGCATTCTTTCCCATATTTCTCTTTGGTCTAGAACAACAACAACAAAACATATTAGTAAAAAAAAAATGGTGCACTTTTCCTTCACCAGCTCCCATTAGGAATCATCTGCTGGTTTAAATTCTCAGCACATGATATCCATCTGTTCTAACTGTCCTCAGGAAGAAATACAATCACTCCAGTCTCATATCATCACTGAAGTAAACAGAACATGCAACACAACCTTTCTTCTTCTAAAGAGATTAACAATAATAGTTCTATGGGATAGGAAAAGAATTCATTCTCTCAAAATATTTAGATCATCCCCCACCACCGAGACAGACCCAATCTGAAATATTATTTGGTATTATTTTCAATTCCATGCAAGAATGGAGAATATGACCTGCACATGGCGCTCCACTGCTTGCCACAAGTTTCCCCATTCTTCTTGTACTGAAGTGTAGTATTGTTGTATACACCAAAGGATACGTGGATTTCTCCCCTCAATTAAAGTTAACGGGGAAGGCCCTCAACAGGTTTGCCAACAGGCCTGGAGAAAAGAGTTCTGTTCATTTAACAGAGGATTAATGTGTGGAAAGGGGTAGCTGAAGCATTTCATGGCATGCATGGCTGTAAATAAAATCCCATCCAGCCTCTTTTAAAAGGACATTTTTTCTCCAGGCAGTTGGCAACCCCACCCTCAAGTACAAGCTATGTTTATACAGTGGAGTACATTCAAAACTTTGGATCAGAACACAAATATTAAGAACACAATTTTATGGAAATATAATCCCTACAAATAGCACAAAAATATGATTTCATAGAAAATTCTTACTATACGATCTGTTGCCCTTCTCTCTCAACCATGTCTACCTGGAAATCTTGCCAATTATATGTACAACCTTTCCAACTATATATACATACGACTGCTGATCTGTGACTACTTTGTAAAGAATTACCAAAATACTTACTAAAACACTAATCCCACAATAAACACACATTCCATCTAGTTTTTTACATAAACTTTTGAGAAGCATAAAGAGAGTAAGGGGTAGCATTGGGGATTTAACTTCCTCAAAGACACAAAAATCTCACTATGAAACAAGCCAACATCCCCAGATTGCACTCTTGTAAAATCTATATAGCTACAACTTGATTACAGAATAATATAGTCTAGTAATGCTTTCTTAAAAAAATAACCTTTACAGCAGGGTTAATCTTTTAAGGCATGTAGGTTTACATAAAGAAGTCCACAGAAGTTGGTATTTTCCCCTTCTTTCATGTTGATTGTGTATATTATATTCTTAGCATACAAACACCAGGGTTTTATTTGTTCACCCCTCCCTACAAATACATAAAAACACATACCATTCGGATATATGGGTTTTCTCCAAGACACGTCTGACACAAAATGGGGAAATCCTACATGAAAGACAAGAAATTTATTTCCAGGCTAAGATAACAGCTGAATTTACCATACAAAAACATTAAAAAACCTCTATAGTCTGTTTTAAACTGGACTGATGCTATCACAGGCATTAATTCCTTAGTATGCCCAATCAGCAGGATTCACACGTTACTTGCTCACCAAAAGGAAAGAGAACATAAAATATACACAACCATCACATAATACTATAAGCTTTAAAAAATGAATTCCCCACATATATTTTCTTATTAGTCAAGTCAAGAAATGGTTCAGACACTCCATTAGAAGAGAAAAACGGAGAGCATTCAGCATCCAAGATGCTTTCAGGTGGGACTGAAATGCCTCTTAGCATGCAAGCTTTTATTTTTGCAGAACAGTATGTTCACTTCTCAGAATAAAAAAAAATTCTGCAATTTTGACAGCTATCACACAAAAATAGAAAACAAGAAGTACAGATTACATTTTAACCACATATACCAAAATATACCAAGGATTAAGTTTTCAGGTATAGGAGTTAATTTTTTTTACCCATTCCAGAGATGTGTCCTTTTCAATTATTAAAGCAAAACAGACTGAACTCCTGTAGCACCTCAAAGACTAACTGATCTTTACTCCAGCATAACCTCTGTGGACCAGAGCAGTTGATAAAATAGGCTCTAGGGCACAGAAGTTTCTGTTAAAATAAGAGTCCACATGACTTTAAAGTGCCACAAAGCTGTTTTTTTTTTTGTTTTAAAAACTCAGAATACTGCAGAAACATCTGCATTTCCTCCAGGATGCGCCTTAGCAAATTGCATGAGGCTAAGAGGGACAAGCTATTTGCATGTTTTTCCCTGAGAAACCTTACGGGATACAAGGTGCAATTTGTGTTGTATATGAAAGCTCCGTTCAACAAATATAGCAAGATACACCTTCACCTTACATATGAACATAAGAGACAAAACCCAGCCTCTCAGACCTCCTCTATGATGCCCGTTACACGAGGGCAAGCGGCAGCTCCTGCCTCTCTCCGCCTCCCAACACCACCTGCTTCCCTTGACCAGACAGGGGACAACTAGACAGTTGTGGACCCTTCGGCTGCGGGAAGAGGGGCTTGAAAAGGCGCGCTCCTTTCCGTCGGGGCCCTGAACGCACCCCCGTCTGCCGCTCTACCTTACCGCATCCTCCCAGTTCTGCCGATTATAAGTGTTGGATCCTAGAGACGTCGCCATCTTGACACACGGAAAAGCGGGCACCGGATGTGGACTGCCTGCACACCGGAAACATCGGCCTCACTCCATCTCTCTTTAAGGAAGGGGCGGAGAATCGTCATGGAAAAAAAGATACGGACGTGGAGTTTAAGGGGGCGGGGGAATAGCGCAGAGGAAGAGAGGCCGTTTGGACGCCGGCGTAGAAGAGGCGGAAGCAGCGCGTCGTGTGGAGTCTCCGCGGTCTGAACATTAAAAGAAAGAGTATTCCCTAGGACGAAGTCTGGGTCCAGGGGCACCTTTAAGACCAACAAAATTTTATTCAAGGTATAAGCTTTCATGTGCAAGCACAATTCCTGAAATACACATTTTTGAGTCCAGCGGCACCTAGAGGGAACAGTGGTCCAGTGGCACCTTTACAGCAACAGTTCACTCAAGGTATGAGCTTTAGTGTCACTGTGCATGCACATTTTTTCTAATACATTGGAAAGTAACAGTTCAAACTTATAGACATTCCAATGTATTCGAAAAAGTGTGCATCCCACGAAAGCTCATACCTTGAGTAAACCTTTGTTGGTCTTAAAGGTACCGCTGGACTCTAAACTTGTTCTGCTGTTTCAGACCAACACAGCTGCCCACCTGTATCTATCTTCCTCAGATACATTGAAACAGAATTTCCTCAACCATCACATATAGGTGTGTGTGGAGGGGGGGTTGCCAGGAGGGACTAGTCTAGAACAGGGGTGGCCAGTCTTCAGCTTGGGAGCCACATGTAGCTTTTTCACACATATTGTGGAGCTCCCGGCAGGGTGGCGGGGAAGGGGAGACATACCTCCCTAATCGGTGTTCCTTTTCCCATTCAGTGTTCCCTTCCCTGGGTAGGGTTGGGGGGAGCAGAGAAAGAAAAGATGTTGTTAATGTTAGGTCCAGTGATTGTGTTGTTTGCGTGTATGTGGCAGCAAAGTCGGCATCTGGGTTTATTGCAAGCTCTGGTACCAATGTCCATATTCAAATTAGATGTTGTATTATCATGGGTGAGTTGCTTGAGATTAGAGGAGTGTCTGTGCATAAGAAAAGGTTCACTGCCCAGTACTTGTGAAAGAGAACTGTCATTATCCAGTAGAGGCAAGTTGCTGATGATGCATTGAACTGTTCTGAGTTGAGAGCTGTATGTGACCACTAGTGGTGTTGTTATTGTCTCTTTGGGCCCTGTCTTGCAACAGATTTTCTCTGGGTACCATTCTGGCTTTGTTAATCTGTCTCAGATACTTTGGTTCCAAAAAAAAAAAGTTTGTTGTAGATCCCACAGGTGAGAATCTCTGTAGGATGGGAGCAGATGTAGCATACAGCCTGGTTGCATCTATGACACTGTTTAACCATCTCATCCTTTGCCATCCCCGTCTTCTTTGGCCTTCAATCTTTCCCAGCATCAGGGTCTTCTCTAGTGAGTGCTCCCTTCTCATTTGGTGGCCAAAGTATTTGAGCTTCATTTTCATTATCTGGCCTTCCAGGGAACAGTCAGGGTTGATTTCTTTTAGGATTGACTGATTTGATCTTCTTGCAGTCCAAGGGACTCTCAAGAGTCTTCTCCAGCACCATAGTTCAAAAGAATCTATTCTTCGGCGCTCGGCCTTCCTTATAGTCCAACTCTTGCAGCCATACATGACTACTGGGAATACCATTGCTTTGACCATGCGGACTTTTGTTGGCAGGGTGATGTCTCTACTTTTTATCATGCTGTCGCTTTCCTCCCAAGGAGCAGGAGCCTTTTAATTTCATGGCTGCTGTCACAGTCTGCGGTGATCTGGGATCCCAGGAACGTGAAGTCTGTCACTACTTCCACGAGTTCCCCTTCTATTTGCCAAGGAGTGATGGCGCCAGATGCCATGATCTTAGTTTTTTTGATGTTGAGCTTCAAGCCCACTCTTCGCTCTCCTTTTACCCTGATCAGGCAAGAGGCTCTTTAGGTCCTCTTCACTTTCTGCCATTAGAGTGGTATCGTCTGCATATCCGAGGTTGATCTTTTCCCCAGCAATCTTAATTCCCGCTTTTGATTCATCCAGGCCAGCATTTCGCATGATGTACTCTGCATATATATTAAATAAGCAAGGTGACAATATACATCCTTGTCGTACTCCTTTTCCTTTGCTGAGCCTGGCTGTATACAATGGATCATTTGGTATGTTTAGGATAGTGGCTGGAGACATATGTTTGTCAGTTAGTAGGTTCCTGGTATAAAGTGGTGTCTATGCGTCCATTGTGTATTTTTACAGTAGTGTCCAGAAAATGTATTTCTTGCATAGATTGGTTCATTGTCAGGTTGACTGTGGGGTGAAAGTCATTGATAGGGATAGGGTAGCCAGTGTGTCGCATCTCTATAGTTCTCTGCTTGCCTAGCTTAGCCTGACCTGTGTCTGGTCCTGAGCAATGTGCGGCCTACTGCCTGGCTGACATGACACTTTCTGTTTGCCTTCTCTAGGGGTTTAGCATCTTTAGCAGCCATGGGATGCCTCAGCATTAATATTCTGTTAATCATTGCTCTCAAGTTAGGCACAGGAGGAAATACTTGAAGGGCGGCGCATTGTAGTCCTTGAAAACAAAAAGGGACATCTTTGCTTAATTATATTTTTATACTCCCCTACCATTCCAAGATGCTTAGGGGGGCTTTCATGCCTTTTCTTTCCATTTTGGCTTCACAATTACCCTGTGAGGTAGGTTAGGAATAGGCTGACAGGAGAGTGACTGACTCAATAACACTTTCAAAAGAGTAACAGAGTTAGTCTGTTGTAGCAATGTAAAACAAAAATCTTCAACATTTTCTGTTCCTTGGCCGCATCAACCAAAAGGGAGACTGTAGCCAAGCAATCAGAAAGAGACGGCTGTTATCACCGTTCACCTGCTGTCTCGAATCTAACAGGAACTGACCCATTTGGTTGTCAGTAATATCCAAGCTAGTTTTGCCAGATTCAGGCTTCGTGGCCTACTTCAAGCACTATACCCCTGAGCATAAAGAGCTAGTGAAAGTTGGACAATGACGAAAGCTGACAGGAAGAGAGTTGATTCATTTGAAATGTGGTGTCGGAGGAGTGGTTGGTAAAAAAAACAAATAAATGTGTTCTAGATCAAATCAAGCCTGAACTCCCCCTAGAAGGTAAAATGAACCGAGCTGCTCGTATTTTGGTCACATGAGACGTTTTCTCAATGGGATCTGTTATGTATGGAAATAGAATGTATGAATGTATGAGCTTGAGTCTGACAAAGGTATTGTAAACCGACCTATCAGAGCAAAGGAAGTTCTGGAGGGAAGTGATTTTTCTTTATGTACTACATTTGATTGGATCTTATCTGACTTGTGGGTGTGGCTTGCCAAGCCCAGACTGTTGAAAAAGGAGCCTGTTGCTCCATTGTTTGTCTTGTTCTGGTTCTTCTGATTTCGTGTTCAATAAAGCTGTTATCACCGTTCACCTGCTGTCTCGAGTCTCGTATATAACAGGAACTGACCCATTTGGTTGTCAGTAATACCCAAGCTAGTTTTGCCAGATTCAGGCTTTGTGGCCTACTTCAAGCACTATATCCCTGAGCATAAAGAGCTAACTACCTACTAGAAGGAAAAACTAGTGTGGTGTAATACTGGACTGAATTCTGGGAGTTTCAAGTTTGAATGCCCACTGTGCCATGGGAACCCTTTGGGTGATCTTGAGCCTGACATATATACACATAACCTACCTCACAGGGTTGTTGTGAGGATAAAATGGAGGATAGCAGAAAAATGTAAGCTGCTTTGGATCCACATTGGGCAGAAAAACAGGGTGCAAGTGAATAAATGACAGCAACTAGTTGCTTCAATTTTACTTCCACCACAAATTCACAAGCTCTAGTCACAACTACTGTTTCTCTCAGTCTTATCTGCAATATTAAAACAGGCTAGTTTCCATGGCTGAAGAATTAGCTTAGTCATGCATATGAAGCATTTGGAGCACCTAAAAAGCACTACACAGAAGTACCGATGGTTAAATACCTCTACAAAACACAAATCAGTTTAAACAATGCTGCATAGCTCAACACAGTTATGCATACATGTGCTGCAGTTTCATAAGACACAAGCAGTGGAGAAAATTATAGGACATGCCCTGTTATACGGATATTCTCATCTCCTCAAAAAGCTCTATTCTAAGTGGCAAGTAGTGTACAAAATGCCCTATCCAGAGTGTGAGACTCAGAAGTGGACCTCAAACAAAAAAAAACTCTTATCCCAATTAGGGGAAGGGGCTGTGGCTCAGTGAAAGACCTTCTGCTTTAGAAGCAGGTTCAATCCTGGCCATCTCCAGTTAAAGATCAGGCAGTCATAATGTGAAAAACCTCTACCTGAGACCCCGAAGAATCACTGCCAGTCTGACTAGGCAATACTGACCTTGATGGACCGATTGCCAGATTCAGTGTGAGGACTTTGTGTGTGTTTGGTTCTTTTAGAAGTAGTTTCACCATGGCTCAAGTAGCTTAACTCCTATAACAAAACTGGCCCTCACTGTCTGCTTTCAAAAATATTTACATGCTAGTCGTGTTGAAGCTGAGAGCACTTAACTAGAAGTCACTTATAATCTTTTTTTTTGGGGGGGTACTGTTTTTATCTGGTGCATTTTATACATTGTTAGCTGCCTTGACGCCCGTTCAGGGGAGATGGAGGAGGATATAAATTTGATAAATAAATAACCTCCCATCCAGGGACTGGTCAGGTCCACAACTGCTTAGGGCTATCACTGACAAGAATACCAGGTGCTCCCACAGCATTCCCTTGCCCAGTCTTTCCAGCCATTGTTGAGGAGGGAAAACCTGAAATCATTTAATCACTGCTCAGGTTCAACCCCACAGATGCTTTGTTGGTACTGCAAGAACATGCCAGTCCAGATGTCTTAAACTCATAAACCAGATAGTATAATCTTGCACTGCAGGGAGGGGGAGAAAAACACACACAAACAGCTTTGGCTGCTTCTTTATTTCAAAGTTCACTACATTAAACAGTAAGGCAGAGTGCTTCCAGTGTCCTCTTGTGAAGAACCAGTGAGATGTTTCTGCAGAATTGTGTGGAATACATACCAACAGTAATTCCTATGCTTTGTAAGATTAAACAAGAAAAAGAAACAAATCCCTTGACTAAGTTGTTACAATCCAATATATTCTTCCGTTTTTGAACCAGCCCTTATGGCCTCCAAAACATATCCTATACACATTACGAGCAGGACTATTAATTTTATCAGCACAGCAAGATCTCAGCTCTTATCTTCAACTTGCAAAATATTACTTGGCCAAGAAGTGGCTTGGGGGAGGTTAAATCAGGAATTATTTGGATTTAGTTTATAAATTGAGGACAGCAGACACTAACACTACACATTTAAGCATAAACACTGGCTAGACTTCTAAATCTCATGCTTTACATTATACAGTCTACACAAGCCCTGTAAACATTACGTTTTTTTTTAAACCACCCATTGCACAAACTAGAAAATAAGGCGCAACCTTCATCCAAATGCTTCCAGACAAATGCAGATCATTTTAAAATACACCTCTGAACAATCTGCGATCTACAAAAAGCACTTCTCCAACCATTTCCATTTAGTGTGTCTCCAATTATGTACTTAAATGAATAGTTTGCCTGCATTTGAAATAAGTATACCATCTTTTCCATTTGTCTAGAGTATTCTGTATAGTCACACTGCCATTTATTCCCATTGCCAAGATCTTTACAGTTTCCCCATTTGCTGCATGCTGCACATCAAACCCTCAATTCATAATACTTGTATCTGTTGCTTATTTCTAGAACCATCGGGTTAAAAAAAACCCACTGTGTTCCAATGCATTTCTTCTCAGCACTCTAGCAAACAAAAGGCTTAACTGACATGCATGTGTTGAAAGAGTCTCTGTGCGTGCGGCATGGCAATACTGATTTCAGGGTTACCAATCAAAATACAGAGCCAAGCCTTGGGTATTTCGTAGATTATAACAATTTATTCACTTAATCTGCTGCTCAGAAAGCCATGCTCATAGTGGTTTGGGTCTTAAGTACATACAGTGGAAAAATGCCCAGCGGGTGATGGTTGCTGCTTTCTCACATGGTGTTAGATTGAAACACACATACCAAAAGTGATCTCACCTATCAAAAAGCTTCAAATATCTTTGGTTCATACACTATTTTTAAAGGAATAACTTCACGAACACAAACAAGTGCCTCCTTTTCCAATCTCCTTGCAGCACCCCCTGCAGCTTCAATAAGTCATTTACAGCAGCATTTTCACTTACTGACTGCCCTATAACCTGTTTCATTTTAAACATGGATCTCCCAGCTAAAGAGTGGCAGAAACATTAAACCCCAAAACCAAAGAATACTGAGGATACACAAAGTGCCGTTTGCTTTTCATAATGGCCTTTCCTTAATAAACTGTACAGGACAATAGAATGTTCCTCAGAATGTCTATTTAGTACTTGAAACCGAGGATGGTAAGCGAGAGCGTATCCTGCTGCTGGCTGCTTTACAAGAAGATGGTACTGCAGCCTTGGAATAAATTTGTCTTGCCAACTCCATCTACTAGAAAGAGATTTTGGCTTTCTCTAGCTCTAGCTTTATGAAGTTGACACAAAGAATGGCTTTGCCAAGAAATCTCATGTGATTTGATCAAAACATAATGCAAGTACATAGATGGCCACAAGTGTGTACACTGAGTTTCGTGCTGTAAAGTTGACCAGATATGTGGCATAGTCAGAAAACCATCTTAGTAGGCACTGCAAAGAGAGAAGCAGAGGCACACATCGTTCGGAGGCATGGCTCTTCCTCTTTAATCCCACCTCCCCCACTTTTGGCTGATACATGTGGTGTGTGTTCTCATCCAAAGGAAGCTCTGTGAACCAGTGCCTTCAACATTTATCTGGGACACGTTCTTCTACGACAGTGACACGGTGCAGCACATGGCCATCTTTCAGGATCCAATTACTGACAGTCTTCAAGGAAGCAGAGGGCCCAGCCTGAGCTCCACGTGGTGAGTGAGCCAGATGACCTCACAGCTCTGATCACTTTCCTCCGTGGGCCGAATTGGAGCAGCGAGATTTTTAAATTCATGCTTCATCTTAAAACTTACAGTAACTTCTCCCTCTTCTTTCTGTGGAGTAACCTTGATGAATATGCCAACCTTGTTAGCCTTCCGAAATGCTATAATGCTGCAAAACAGAAAGGAAAATATTGAATATTTGCGTATTTGATAGAGTTGGCTTTTTTTTAAGGGACCTGTTTGATGTTTCAGGTAATAGCCTAATTACTCCACTGCAACCCAGATGTATTAATGAAAAGTTCTTGAAATAATATAATGATTTAAAGTAGGTCTATATATATTATCTCCAGTTCCAAGGTACGTGTTCAGGATTATTCAATATAGCATCATTTGCCAGCCAGGGTCTTGTAGTGGGCAGAGTGCTGGACTAGGATTTGAGAGACACAGGTTCAAAACCCCACTCTGCCATAGAAGCCTCCTGAGGGATCTGGGGCCAGTCTCACACAATCAGCCTAACCTACATCACAGGGTTGTTATAAGCATAAAATGCAGGAGAGAAGAATGATACAAGCACCTTTGGGTCCACAGTGGGAAGAAAAGTGGGGTATAAATGAAATAAACAACAAAGCATCCAACTTTCAGTTCTTTTTAAGGGGCCGTAGGTTTGAAAGACATGTTACAGCTATTATCTGCCCCTGATACTTAGAAACTTGTATTTAATGGATTTAATAGTCTTACATATGACCATGCCAATGTGGAAGTTTGCATACTGGATTCATTACATTCATTCAAATCTTCCCCTTTCAAATAGCCCCATACCAGAATATGTCCATGGGTCACCTAGTCCAGCCACAATTTCAGACTAAGTCTCAAAAGCATTTGTATAGTTCCATTAGCTGATAATGCTAAGATTTTATCTCCTTATTTCACAAAAACTCTATTGTGAACTACCATCACTACAACCTGCCACTGTGCAAAAAAATTCTGGATGAACAGACTTAATATCTGCTTAAAGCAGTGAACAAAGTAAGACAGATGGGGAACTGAGCAGAGACACAGCTTGCCCAAAGACCACATAATAAGTTGACAGCCATGCTGAGATCTGAACACGACTCTTTCAGGTCCAAGTCCAATGTATGCTCAGAACTACACCAACATTTATTTAAGATATGGTGCCATTTTGCTAGAATTTTTTGTTGAACCTGATTTACCTACTTATGTTACAGTTGCTTTGCAAATGTGATTAAGTTGCTGAGGTATATATGGAGATACTTGAGGCCAATCAACATTGCACTTTCCATAATGGAGGGCCTTGGAAACAATTAGTGTTCAAATGTAATTTATCAGAATGCTGATTACATCTTCTGCCCTTCATCACATGGTAAGTTTTGCACATCTGGTGAATTCAGCCACATTTGAGTGGCTGATGGTACTTGCCAAGAAGGCACAAGCTATGGTGAGCAAACTGCCTTCTAAGCATGGAGAAACAGCCACCTGGTGCCTCTTTCCATTGCCACTAACATGATATACATCTCAACTGGCCCTACGACAGCCATTTAGACAACCCAACAGAGAGCACGGCAAAGCACAACTTTCAAACCACTGACATACAGAACAAAGGAAACCAATTAGTGCTGGTCAGCTGCCAAAAGCCAATGCTGCCAACCAACAGTGAATCTGAGGTGACACAGTGTTAACCATTCACACAAGGTGGGGGGGGAACTCACTCGGGGTCATCCTGAAAATCTTGAGGCTCTGCCAACTCATCATATTCTGCTGCTGCATCTTTGCCAGCCAGAAGAAGCTCCTTGGTAGGAACCACCACCTGAAAAGTTGTTTGCATAAAGGATTAATGTGACAGATATTCAACTGCCTGTTATCAAGCTTCTTACATGTTACGGCAGCCATAAAAGGTTGATGCTGGACAGAATGTTTAGTTTTTTTGTAGCAATCACATGCTATTTCCAAGAAATCTCATGGAGGTGGCTACAACCAAGAGTACAGATTGTGTTTCCCAGCAACACCTTCAAGTATGTACCAACATTTGTGCTAGTAAGGTGCAATAC